TCCAATTTTTTTGCATAATTGAGTCATTAAGACGCAAACAAACTAATTTAGAGTAGTTTGATGCGAAATGCTTAATTGCAGAAAAAAAATTCTTTGGTGTCTGTTTTGCCTTACAATGCCCTCATGTAGCTCTTCACCATGAATAGATTCATTCATTTTCAGCCAAAACCTTATCTAAAAACCATTGTAAAACAATGTCTCAAGCATCAGGCAGTGTGATCATAACCATTTTATGTAATAGCTGTCTGTAAGGGAGCTTTTAGAGGCTTATAGATAGATAGATAGATAGATAGACAGACAGACAGATACTTTATTGATCCCAAAGGAAATTTAGCAATTTAAATTTAAACTCTTCAGACATCTGGTTACTATCACTGTAAACTATTCTAAGCCAGTAAGTTTCTCTAGAATGGAGAATTTGTTGACATCTTAACCATTGAATTATGCAGACATTTTGAAAAATCAGTGAAATTTCCCTTTAATTTGAATTTAGAACTGTTGCATTATGTGAAGGTACTTAGAACTTTAAAGGGGTTCATCACACTCGCACATCTCATTCACAAAAATGATTCTTTAAAGGACTATCCAAAAATGGTTCTTCTATGCCATATCTCCAAAGAGCCTTTCTTTTGCACCTTTATTATTAAAAACACCTTTTATGTTCATGTACTGGCAGAAAAGACAAAAACCAGTTCTAATAGTTAATTACAATTCTCACTAATTGTAATAAAACAAAAGTAGTGCCAAAGAACCCTTGCAGCACATTTTATTTATAGTGTAATGACAAAAAAACAAAACAAAAACAAAAATTATGTGAATTTACACACACACACACACACATTCTCTAAACCGCTTATCCTCCTGGGTCGTGGGGGGGTGCTGGAACCTATCCCAGCACTCACTGCGTGGAAGGCAGGAAACACCCTGGACAGGTCAGCAGTCCATCACAGGGGATGTGAATTAAAAAAAAAGTATATTCTGTCATGCACGATAAAATTTTCATAAATGTCGTTGCCCTCTGATCATATTTTCATGTATGACGATAAATGTTCCAGTTATCCTGTTGTCCTCTGCTCCTGCGGTCTGCTTTTCTCTAGCCTCTGGTGACAGCGTCCTGTACAGTATTTTAGCAAAGCGGAAAGTGACAAGCACTGAAAAGACAGTAAAAGGTGTTTACGGACTTTTCCTGAGCACACGCAGGGCCTACCATGACCTTTGCCCTGTCCGTCATTTTGCGCCTAAATGAATTATCTCAGCTGTCAAAGTTCTGGATGCACACTGTAGGTCAGCGGAAATCACAGCAATATTTCGCTACTTGTTATTTTTCTTCCCTCTCTTCTTCAGACTGTGACACTAACTGTGATTTTTTTTTACCGTCCTCTACGTCCAAGCATTGTTCTAAGTTGGGTAAAAATATACAAGATGTTTTTGGAGTGAGTGGGTGTTCCCCACTCTGAGGTCCTAAGTGCATGGAGGGCATGTGTCTGTCAGCGTCTTTTGGGTCAAGACAAAACAAAAGGGGGAGAAATCAGTGAGTTGGGGGGACTGCACGTGGCTAAACGTACAGTATGTCTTTGACAGGAAGTTAATGTTATATATCCCTACATTGAATCTTTATTATACAAACTATTAGGCTTTCTCAGTCGTGGTCCTGGAATACCTCTGCCCTGCACTCTTTAGTGTTATCTCTGCTCTAATACACCTCAACTCAGGAGCTAAATTAACAAGCCTATCTCATCAGCTTGGGTCATTGGCCCACCCAAAAAAATAAAGTTGCAGGGGCAATGCACATCCAATCCAAGCGCAGAACTCTTCTACAGGATGGCAGAGAGGCACCAAGAGATGGAAGATTTGGGGAAATTATCTGATTGCCATTTTTCTAAACAGTATTGCAATATTCGGTAAATTATGCTCCCAGCCGTTTTTGGGCAAGAAGGCCAGCACATTTTTTATGGACCTGAGGGTTGAATGCTGAATGTTTAGTGTTATAGAGTGACAGTTCACAAGCTCTGCATTATGGGGCAAACTTACTTCTTACTTCTAGCTTACTAACGTACTAAATTCCATACTTGCTTAAATCTTAAGACAAGGCTGACCAAGGCAGGACTTAACTACTTGCTTTAATTGGATTTGTAAATTGCACTTCTTCAAACTGTGATATCGATACAAAAATGATTGATCGTTCTGCTCTAGCGGCACCATCACTATAGCTTTGAATAAACGCAATATAATAAAGTGCATGATAATGAAAACAAATGTGTCCACATCCCTTCCCCAAAATGGAATGGTTTAACCCCAGCAAGCACCCAGCTAGACTGCAGTTCAATAGCCATGTTTTTCTTTGAGCTTTGCAAAGGTGTCACAAAGCATGCATTGTGAAATTGATTTGTTCTTAAAGGGGCACGCCAACCTAAAGCTAGCATTTAACATGTTATTTGTCATGTTATATAATATTAGCATGGCATTGTATCCCTTAGCACTGCTGGGATAGGCTCCAGCAACCCAGAAGGATAAGAGGTTTAGAAGATGTGTGTGTGTGTGTGTGTGTGTGTGTGTGTATCCCTCAGCCTCATCAGTTTGACAGAACTGCCAATTTGGTACCCTTTTTATGTTTTTGTCCATCAGTGTTTTCTCACTACTACACCCTGCATACATTACACAAATACATCATACAACCACAACTAATGGTGGTAAAGACATCCACTGATGTTCCACTACTGTATGTTCCACTATGTGATATTTGGCTTCCTAACACTAATATTAGCTGACTTCCTCCTGCATCAGTCTATCAGAAAACAAATAAAATTCAAACAGCCCGTCCTCTTGCATCTGTGCTAAAGCGCCTGTAGTTTTTTAAAGGTCCTCCCACCTTCAAGATACATCATCAGAAGAGTGTTTAAATCTGAAAATCTCACTCTTGAGACTACTGTGGCACTGTTGTGGGAAGTGAGTAGGCATGATTACGACAGATGTAACAATGTTTACATTTTTCTTTCTGATCAGAATGCCTTTTTAATTACATTTTGCTGGTATCCATTTGTGATGCCAACAAAAGTAGATCATGGTGCTAAATGAACAACATTGGAGAACTTAACAAAGAGCAAATGTGAACACAAAAATCAGTTTTTACAGTGATACTGAAAGATTATTCCTCATCGCACTCCATGTCTTTGATCCCTACATTCTCAGAATTAAAGGTAGTAAACTGTCACTGGGGCAGTACCCTTTTTGTCACTGGGAGTGGTCCCTTCAAGGGTACATCTCAGTACCTTTAGTCAGGGAACATAATTATATCATAATTCATTGAAATTATATTTTCTAAGTTGTATTGACCCACACACCCTGTCTCATCTCCAGGCTTTTTATTTTATTGTTCTGTTTTAAAACATTAGGTTATGAAAAGGTAGAAATATGTACTTTTCCAGTGGGGAAAACTTATTTCACAATTGGATCTTAAGACCACTGTTGTACCTTTGAGGTACATTTACATTGTTTGTACCCTGATGAATGAAAATAGTAGTATTTCTAGCAGTGTGCATCAGTTCCACATTAATTACATTATGACTGGTGACAAATTGAAGAAAAACATAACGAATGCTGATGCTGTACTGTTTGACACAATTAAGCATTTAACATCCTCGCATGCTCCGTGACATGTATACAAAGCTGAGCAGGATCAACTGACCCTGATTTGGATCAAGATGGCAAGAGCAAAAGATCTAAGTGACTTTGAAAGAGAGTTCATTACTGGAGCAGGAGCTTTAGTCACAAAGACTCATCAACTGGCTAGTGTTTCAATAGGAACAATGACTGAAGTGACGTCTGCATTTCGATCCATGGGAAAGACATCAGTAAATAGGTCATCAGGTTGGAAATTGTGGTGGAAAGTGCGCATTCGGTGACTGTGATTCTGCTGCATTGCTGTGATTTGTAAGGAAAAACAGAAGGGCATCTGAGAATGTCCTTGCAGGATGTGATTAGACTGGAACAGTCCATACACAACTATAGAACACTATAGTAGACCTGCAGTGCATAAACTCCTCATTACAAAGACAAACGCACAAAAAACAACAACACAGCCTTTAATTTGTCACCAGTCTGTATATCACCTGGACATGATAACTGTCCTTACTTTAGGCAGTAACTGTGTTGATGTAATGTGTTTTATTCATGTATAAATTATGTCTACATTAGAAGTGAGTTAAGTGCCTTTTTTCAGCGTGCTGTGCTGAGGGGTTTAAAGGTGGTCTCTCCTGTTGTTGTTTTTAACCCATCCTCGCGCTGACTGACCCAGTGCGCTCGAGGCCCGAGCGGGCGCGTGCTCCGCCGGCGCAGGAAGGGCGGGCGTGCGCGTCCGGTCACGCGCGCGCAGTTAAAAGCGCTGAGCGCGGCAGAGAGACGGACACGGAGCCCGGCAGAGAGCGCATGGACGTCGCTGTGGTCAATAAATGGCCGGTGAAGGAGGGGGTCTCCGCGGATGATAGGACTGGACACCTGCTGCCGGACTTCACCTGACCGGGACGAAGAGGATGCAGCAGTAAAACTGATCTAGACTCTTTATGTTCTTCTCATCACTTTAGGACTCTCGTGCTGACTGTAATCAGACTGACCGGTGTTGTTTAACATCCCGTGTGCTGCTGGACTCTGAATGACTTTTAACGTTACTAACTTTTTAAGGGCTAAAGAACATTTTTACAGTTGGCTACAGTGTAATACCTGCTGACGATATGAGCTACAGATGACCAACCCTGCTCACCTGTGGGCCTCTACTGCTCTGACTGTCCATTAAAGGACGTTTCCCCTCTGTGTCATTTCTCCACAGTGGACCGGCTCTGAAACTTCTCTCCAAACTTTTGTTTTGCGCACTCGTTTAGGCACTTGGTGTGCACACAGACTTTAAGTCGTCCTCTGCTCCAGGGTCGCGAAATGCGCGTGCACACGCTCCGTCGCCTCGAAACGGCAGCGCGCGCCAGGAGCCGCGCTCTCGCCGCGCGCTCCCCGGCGTGCTGAAGACGATGCGGTCTCCGCGCGCAGCCCGCCTCGGTCTGCTGGCGGCGTGCGCGTGCACGTGGCTGCTGGCGGCGCAGGGCTGCGGTCCCGGACCGGGCTACGGCGCGCGGCCCCGCACGCGCAGGCTGACGCCGCTCGCGCTCAGGCAGCACGTGCCCGGCGTGTCCGAGACGAACCTGGGCGCAAGCGGGCGCGCGGAGGGCAAGATCGCGCGCCACTCGGAGCGCTTCAACGAGCTCGTGTGCAACTACAACCCCGACATCGACTTCAAGGACGAGGAGAGGACCAAAGCGGACCGCCTCATGACCAAGGTACTGTGGGTAATGGAGTTCAGATGCTTTACAATCACATCCCATAATATGGAGAGCCAGAGGTTTCTTATATACTAAGGGTTGGGTTAAGTCGGGTTAAGGACCATTAAAACCTAATGGTTTTGCTTACTAATGGGAAATGACTTAAGATGAACCACTAGTTTCCTGTAGAACACTTTTAGATCCCATTAGGAAACCATCAAATGCATTTAGAGTCAGCCACTGGTCACCTGTTAAACCATTAGGATCCTTTATATTGTGATATCAACCTATTAAAAAGACCAAAACACACTACAAAACCATCAGGAACCAACAATAACAATTTATGGTTTCTATGGGTTTTATGAACAGGGTAATCCTGGATTACTTTTTTCTCTGTTCAGCGGAGAATCTGCATTCTGAATGCTGTGTATTCCAGGACTAGGCTTGATCTGGCCTAGTTAAACCAGCCCTATATGTTCAAAAGTTGATATAGAACTGCTCACTGCCTAGTTTGTCCTCCTTTGATGCAGTTACAGTCTTTACACTACTGGGTTTATACTAGATGTTGGAGCACTGCTGTGCATAGAGGTCAGGTACTGTTGGACAATGAGTTCTGGATCACAAACATCACTTCAACTCATCCTACTGGGCTGTGGAGCAGTGGCACTATGTTCTCCCATCACTCCAGAGAACTTAGTGCTGAGGGGGCCTTATACCCCTCTTGCCAATGCTTGGCACTGGGTATAGTGACCTTAGGCTCCTGTATGGATGCTCCACAGCGTCCACTTCTATTGGTAATGCTTTTCTATGGAGATTATACAAGCTGTTTGTTTTGTACTGAATACCTGCATCAGCAATGGGTGCGTCTTAGCGGAATTCACTAAGACTGGATACTTTTGGACGTATAGCATAACTCATTACAAATGATTAAACATAGAGATAAGTGATGTGGTAATAAGTCAGTGATAAGACCTGAATTAAAAGTGTTGGTACCTCAATGCAATAATGATTCTGGTGGAAGTAAAAGTAGCTACCAGAACCCAGTTTGTAAAAGTTGGTATCACTTGATGAGTTCCTTGCAGAACTGCAGCATCTATCAGCATAGGAATGGTTTTCTTCTCTTTTTGGGATCATTTTAGTATAAAATAAACTCCAAAGTAAGAGGTGTGAACAACAGAAAGGCAGGTCAGGTGTTGAACAAGTAGATTCCTCATAAATACACTTGAGTAGAACTAGTTTAATCGTTTGAAAATACTCAGAAAAGTATGAATCCATTGTAGCCTTACTTAAGTGGAAGGAACTGAGCCACTAGTGATAACCAATGAACTTTTAACAGTACATTATAGCTCAAAGTTAAATAAGTAAGCCAGTGTGTCTTTCCAGTGTCCACCTTGATGTTGGAAACAGGAGAGCTGAATGATGCTCCAGGGACTTCACTGGATATTAACTAGATTTGTGCTTGTTTTTTTGACCCTGCCATACTTTGGCTAATCACCACAAAGGGCATTAACAAGTCTGTGCCTAGTACACAGCACTCCTTTAATATGTAACCAAGGCCTTTGGTAGAAAGCAGCAACCCCTTTCCCCTTATCTGCGTGCTCTTTTTGTAACGGTAAGTAGCAGATTTGGGAGATAACCTTGTTAATATTAATAGTACATAGATCACACAATTCTATAAGGGATTTTAGGAAAGTTGAAAATGTATTTTTCATTATTAATTTCTAAAAATACACAAATAACTTCAAAATGTAACCATTCTGCATTTTTATGAGTTGTGTGCTGTTGGAACAGTAAATGCTTTGTCGTCTATGTCAGAAATCAGTTCACCAAGTCTTCATTATGACAGTGCTGGTAGTGGGAGTAGGAGAACTCTGGAGAAATCTGTGACTCACTGTGTCAACAGCTTCATAATTCAGAGCAATTAGCGGAAAAGGGCAAAAAAGGTGTCCTAGACACAAAGCAAAAGAACCTCCCAGTTCAGTTAATTCGCAAATTGAATGTGCAAAAACATTAATAACAGAATCAGTGAAGTAACTAGGATCTCAGAGTGCTCCATAAGAAAATTACTTCTATGCATGTGGCAAATGCTCTAATCCAGAACAATTTACTGTTTAATCATATTACCGAGCAAATGCAGCATTAGGAGTCTTGCCCAAGGGCTCTTCTTGGTATAGCATGGTGTTCTTGCCTGAGTGGGAAATCAAGCCCTAGCCTGCTTTGTGGATAACATTGGTGTTACCCACTATGCCATACCAGCTTCACTGAACAAAAAGATTACAATGTAATATGCAGAGATGTTCACAAGTCCAAAATCTTGGACCTCAAATCATTGGAGAACAAGTCCAAGTTGTGTCTTGAGCTGTTAGTAGACAATTTTAATCATGTTAGTAGCTGCAGACATCACACTGTACAAAAATAAACCCCTACCAAAACCTGTCAGCAGTAAGTGTGGTGTTTGAAGGAAAGAGGCAATACAACTTGAAATGGTTGGCTAGCATGTAGTTTGTATAACAAGTATGCTAGCTAGCTAGCATAATAGCTAATCCAAGTTTTAAAGGAATGTTACCTGTAATTTTCTAAAACTTCTGCTAAATTAGCTATTGTGCTAGCTAGCACATTTGATATACAAACTACACACTAACCGTTTGAAGTCGTCTTGCCTCTTTGTTTGAAAGGAGCAATATGTAAGATGATGCAACTTTTAAATTCTTACTCCACGCTCCAAACAAATAGAAGTCAACATATCACCAGAAAGTTGTAGTGTCCACCCCTATCATAAGAAACAAGGAAATGCACAGTCCCTCCCCATCTCTCTTCACTCCTTCTCCTCCTTACCAGTCTAGGAGAAACATTGCGACTTTAGCATCAAAGTTCATCCCTTTACTCACCAAGAGCTGTCTCCAGCTGTGGACAGCAATGCCAATGTTAACTCTTATAACTCTTATATCACTTCTTTTGTTCAAGGGGTTCAGTAGTCATTGCGTTTACAGTTCCCTTTACTGGTTACCTGTCCTTAAACGTTTTAACCAGGGAAGTCCCTTGATTGACAAGAGGTTAGAAAACGCCCTCGGGGCAGTGCTACTTCTTTATCCTCTCAAGTTGGATTGATGGCAGACTCAATGCTACAATGACTCACTACCACCTCTTGAGGTACAAAGTGGTATTATGAGACAGGGCATGCCTGGCCTAACTGGTTAGCATGCTTCAGTAGATATCTCTGTAGCACGATACATAGATGTCTTTGACCTAACGTCAAAACAGTTATTTCCTCACATTCTGTTGATAGTTTTAGTTCATTTTGCAATGTTTTAAACTAAAAAATCTTACAAACTGCACCTTTAAACACAGCTTTAACGAAATGTAGTGCTTCATTCTCTCCAATGAAAGGCTCATGATTTGATGTAGTATCTGATGAAGTGTCAAACCTAATGCTGCTGTGAGGTATGGGAGAATGCCATTGCTGTAATGACCGCACATGGCCATAATAACTGACAGGCGAAGTCTTTTGTTTTTGGTTTTTTTCCAGGATGAAATTTCACAAGTCTTAATATAAGGTCAGCCAGTATGCCACTAAAATGCCCCATCTCTGGTTATTTGCTTGTTTACTTGCTATTGCTATGCTTAAACCACGTTGGTGCTAAGACTAATGGTTGAAGTATAGCTACCTGTAAGTCACTGGTGTGAAATTGTATAACTAGTGGTATAAGGGGGCCAGTAAAGATATTAAGAGACCCCCATGCTACAGGCCCCAGTGCGATGGCCCTGTCTGCAAGGCCGGTTGCTACGTCACAGCACAGAATCATTTCAAGGTTGTTTAGGAGACACTAAAACTTTAGCTGGATTCATCACAACATCTGAAGTTGTTTTAAGATATAAAAGATCTAATCAGTCTGATTACACATGATATGTAACCAGCTGACTCAGAGGTGCCTTTATGATGCCCAGGCTGAGAGTTAGTGTACAGTATGTGTATGTATGCGTATGTCCTCGCCTTGTCTGCCACTGAAAGCCATCCTTTGTGTACATTTCGGAGGTTCTGCGGGGTCGTCTGTGCAGAATTCCCGCCTGCTGAAGTAATGGCAGCATCGGAAAAGCCTCTATTGTGGTTCTGACAATGAAACGCCTCTGTCAAACTGCATTGCGAGAAAAATGTCCCCGGTTTGTTTTTTGCCCCTCTTGATTTCTCACTTCTTCTGTCACACATCCAAATGCATGCCCAAACATTCCACCATTCTGCCCTCTCACTCAGCCTGGGCCCTGCCTTTTTCTTCTCTTTTCGCCTTTTCCCGACCCCTGCCTCTCTCTCTCGCTCTTTCTCACTGCTTCTCAATGGGTTCAATATATACGCTAATCTAGAACTCTAGATTTCCCACGAAAAGACACTTTTTTGATCATATACTGCATTATGTGTGGTGGTGAGAAGCAAACCACAGTTTGTACATCATGTAGAATAGACAGCAGACAGTACAGATACTGTAAAAACAAAACAATTCAAGTGACTGTATAGAAAAAGGGCTGTGTGAAAATGTTACTGTCTTGTGGGAAAATGAAATGACCTTGAATTTACTCTCTTACAAAGCTGAAATGGCCAAAGAATGTTGGAGATTAGTTACAGTAGCTTTGTTCAGACTGTTAGACACATTTTTTGGAAGGGGGTGTAGATGGCCTTTATCAGTGCTGAATGTACAGACAAAAATTTGCTGGTGCCAACCAGTGAGGCCAAAACATAACACAATGAAGTGGTGTTTAGTCTTCGTTCAATTACAGAATGCCTCTGAATGGAGGCTGAAGGTAGAATCACCCGTCTCATGAATAAGGGCCTTTTGGTGACATGGACTTTTCTAACTGTATTATAATTAGGGCAGTCACTAATAAATGTATTAGAGTAGTCCATAAATTATTTTGATGATTAAATGAATAATCAGAGTTTTGAAAAAAGGTCCAACAATAAAAATGGACAACTCAACAGTCCCAAACCATGCACACCAATACTGGCTTAATCCCCCTGCAGCCCATCATGACAAGTGGGCCCCCTAAAATCTTCACTGGGCTTCTTATATAGATACTGACATATTTGTACACCTATGACTCACAGTAAGATCCAGTTTATTAATAACACACCTCACCACTTATCTTCCATCAGCACTACAATGTACTGATGTGTTAGACCTTTTTAACATCTCATATGTGATCACGGTTTTTGATTATTTTTATTTTATAATACTCTCTCATTTGTTGGTATTTTAAATTTTATTACGTCTTGTTAAGTAGCTGCTCGAGTATTAAATGTGCTATAAACATAATATTTATTAGAATTCTTGTTATTATTACACAGACAGCCCTGATCTCTATTTATCGCTCTCTTATTCACAATGCATCTCATCCATGGTAACCATTTTTAAACAGATCCTTGTTAACCTGCAACGTGATACATTCAGTTATTATTATTCTACATTCTTAAAACATGATAGAAAATGATTTTGTTCAGATAATACAGTCACATGCAAAAGTTTGCGCACCCCTTGTCAAATTACATGTTGATTTTCTAAGTGAAAATAAGTTCATACATCCTCCACAGAAAATACACTCCTGCACATTTAAATGCACAATTACTGTTTATTTAATCAATTTAACATATTGGGAAAAATAACAACACATAAAATGTGGCTTGTGCAACAGTTATGATGCATATTTATATTTTATTTTTTCCCAGTATATTAAATTGAGCAAATAAATAACTAACATTTGCAGAAAAATGCTATATTTAAATTTATTCCCTGTAGAGGATATGTTAACTTATTTTCACTTCAGCCGAACATGTAATTTGACCAAGGTCATGTAAAGCACGTCGCCTCTGAACTCTGGAGCAATGGAAATGCATTATGTAGAGTGACGAATCACACTCCATCTCGCGGTCTCATGGACGAGTCTGGGTTTGGCGAATGCCAGAAGAACGTTACCTGCCTGACTGCACTGTGCCATGTGTAAAGTTTGGTAGAGGAGGGATAATGCTATGGGGTTGTTTTTCAGGGGTTGGCCTAGGCTCCTTATTTCCAGTGAAGGGAAATCTTAATACTTCAGTGTACCAAGACATTTCGGACAATTCTATGCTTCCAACTTTGTGGGAACAGTTTGGGGAGAACCCTTTTCTGTTTCAGCATGACTGTGCCTCAGTGCACAAAGCAAGGTCCATAAAGGCATGGCTAGGGTAAATCTGGTGTGGAAGAACCTGACTGGCCCTCACAGAGCCCTGACCTCAACCCTATCGAACTAGAACAGGGATTGCGAGCCAGGCCCTCTTGTCCAACATCAGTGTCTGACCTCACAAATGCTTTTCTGGATGAATGGGCAAAAATTCCCACAGACTCACTCCAAAATCTTGTATAAAGCTTCACAGCCAAGGGGAAGCTTTTATAGCTGCAAAGGGGGGACCAACTTTATATTAATGCCTATGGATTTAGAACGGAATGTCATAAAGCTCCTGTGGGTGTAATGTGTAGGTGTCCTAATATTTTTGTCCATATAGTGTATGTATGTTGCATTTCCAGTAATCTGTATAACCTTATTTGGCAAGTGCTGTTTTGAGAGTAGCTAAAAATTAGGTATAATTATTGTGACACAAATACGTACTTTAACATAAATATTTAGGTTAACTGTCTTTTTTTATTAATTGAAAGTAATTTTCGTATGGGGGAACATTCATTTTTGTTTGCTCTGGGGTCTATTAGATCTTCTACTTGGTTTCAAACTGATTCTCTAAACTGTTTTGTTCTTTGTTCTCTGGCAGCGCTGTAAGGATTGCCTAAATAAATTGGCTATTGCAGTTATGAACCAATGGCCAGGTGTTCGGCTGCGAGTGACCGAGGCCTGGGATGAAGACGACAATCACCCATCTGGCTCTCTGCATTACGAGGGCCGTGCTGTTGACATCACCACCTCAGACAGAGATATAAAGAAATATGGCCTTCTTGCTCAGTTGGCTGTGGAAGCTGGGTTCGACTGGGTGCACTACGAGTCCAAGTATCATGTGCACTGTTCTGTCAAAGCTGGTAAATATCATTTGAACCCTGACCTTTGATTATTTTAATGTGATTCGATATCATCAGAAATATAGTTGGATGGGTCATTTATATGTTTCTGCCATTTTATCATTTAGAACATAAGCACTATTCAAGCTGGATTAACCTGTGAAGGAATTTGACTGGTCAGTTCATACAGGAATAAAGTATCTGTGTAATTTCCCCATATTCTCACAGATAGCCTGGATTAAAATGAATTTGGTTCAGCTATTGACTGTAAGTTTTGTAAAAACTAAAGATTGTTCATACTGGATTCAAATCACAGGTCTCAACAGTAATCACTTAAATCATATAAACTGCTCAGATAAAACTAATCCAGCTGGAAAAGGGCTTATACCTTTACAAATACTTTTTAAAACATGTTCTCGCCAACTTTAACTCACCACTCATAAGTGCATTATGGCTACTTTACACAAGTGACCACTCACAACACAAAGGAAGGAGGAGACAGTAGGGAGTTTCCATCCAGCAGTCGAATTAAAGTGAATAACTGAAATGTCACAAAGAATTCCATAAATTATGCTGCGTTTCCACCTGCTTAGTACGAGAAAATCGAACTCTCTACACCACATTCATAAAAAATTATGAGAAATCTTAAAAATTGGGCAATGTGTCTTTGCTGTTTTGTTTAATTTTATGGCTGTTTCACGTTGTAAGACCACATAGACAAAAAGCACACTGATGTAATAAAGTAGCTCAAGATCAACTGCAGCCACCTTATGTCTATATCTTAATCTGTTTACCATGTTTTCTTCTTTGATAGGATAAAAGTATATTTTAATTTCTTTATTAGTTTGTTGTTACCTGATGCCTTCTGTTTCCTAGCAATAGCATAACAGCATCAATAACTTCTGTGCGGAATTTGCGATATATCAAAATATGCATAAAAACACATGGATAGAAATTCAGATACACAGCAGTGGATCTTTCAGTTGGAACAGAATCACAATTAGTGAGTCATCCAAACATGCAAATCACTTATTTGAGAAGCTTGAACATAACATACATACATTGTGTGAATAATTGCTTTGCCTGACTATGAACTTTAGTCTAAAACCAGGGTATACTGCCTTTATTTTTTGGTGACTGCTAGCTGTACTTACTGTGTGAAACATTAAATCGCATGTTATGGTTTTCATAAATTAAAACACAAAAAAAATCACCAGTGTTGAAATTATTAGGAACAATCAAATTCTTAATTTTTTGTGTATTATTGTTATGCTCAATAAACTACTAAAAATGGCAAATGTGCCCATAAACCTCAACACTCATTAAGAATGTGAAGATCTATGAATATGCATGAGTATGCAAATTCCCTTGCTCCCCATTTCTAAACTGCCTCCCTGACTACCATGTTTGAACAGATGAGACAGAGCAGAAACAGAGCTCCTATCATAGCTTGAATAATCAGAAAGATTCAATTCTTCTGTCATTCCAGCACAAGTCACTCGATTTCAGTCACTCAGATTTGAGTGATTTTCCTCTAAATTTGCCTCAGTGAGCTGGAATTGCTGGTTGTTTATCCTTCATGCTAATCTATCATTAGCCTCATGGTGCTAACAAGGATATGAATTAAAAGCACTTTAAGCTGGCAGCAGCATACACAAAAACACAGGTTTACCTGATCAGATTTGAGTCTTTATCCTCTAAATGTGTGTCACTGAGACTTCAGTGAGCCTGAATGAACCTGGATGTGTGTAGATATGTTTAGGCCTTCTTTGTTAAGATGATAGTAGCTTCTGATGCTAAAATCTAGTGACACTTCCTCTCATTAGCATATTTTAGTTTTATTTTAGTATATTGGACAATAATAGGTTCATGCTAATTTGTGACATAAAAAACTAAGTAGCACCCCACAAAACAACTATTTCTTTTTTGCTCATTTTTGTACAAAAAAAAGCGTTTTCAATAGGAAATTGTGAACTTTTTTTTTGTGAACTGTGAATTTTTAAAAAACATTTTAACAATAGCAATGGCTCTGAGGGCTCCTCCAACAAACTTCACTTGAGCTAATACAGTAGCTCAGTAGGACTTGCCTTTAAGATGGCATCAGGGAGTCTTCTAAGGGGAAATGGGGAGGCCAAGTTGAGGAGGGCATGTTAAAACTGGTTGTAAAACTTTTGAATCAAAAATTTTGATTTTGACATTTTGACATCACTCTGTTTCTCAATTTCTCAGATCACTCTGTTGCAGTGGAAAAAGGGGGCTGTTTTTCAGCATCTGGACTAGTGACTATGGCTGGGGGTCTGCAAAAGCCCATGACATGTTTGCAGCCTGGAGACACCGTGCTTGCTTTGTCCGAGTCAGGCGAGGTGGTTTTCAGTCGCGTCCTTCTTTTCTTACATCTGGATGCTAACAGTAGGTCCACCTTCTTGATTCTCAGCACTGAAGATGGGCAAGAACTTGCACTTACTTCCAATCACCTCATCTTTGTGTCTCAGAACTACAAACCGCACCACCACGAGTATCATGCTTGCTTTGCCAGCCGAGTTAGGAGAGGAGACTATGTGCTCGTTACTGGAAGGGATGGTGGGCTGCGTCCATCCAAAATAGTCTCCATCTCAGTAGAGGAAAGAACTGGGGTCTATGCTCCATTGACAGAACACGGCAACCTGTTTGTGGACGGCGTGCTGGCATCCAGCTATGCATCCATAGAGGATCACAGACTTGCACACCGGGCTTTCGGGCCTCTTCGGGTCTTGTTTGGACTGACCCAGCTGTTTGTGGCCCAGACACCACAAACAGTAGACAGACAGTGTGTCTCCAAAGCACATATGAATGTGATGCACAATAGTTCAGTTCATAGCACAAGATCATGTTTAAATGAACATACTTGTTTGCGATATTTTGATGGCACCAACGTCCGGGTTTACTGGTATGCAAGGCTACTACACACTATTGCACAGATGATTTTGAATCCTCAGACGTTTTATGAATAAAGATCCAGGAAAAGCGCTACCAATGACATTTCTCTGTGAGGGCATTATAATTCTAACCACATAAAACCTATTCATGGAAAAGGGCCATGCAAATGATACTGAAACTGATCAAGCTTTTCATTATGTGTAATATATCATTAATTTCGTTTTTGTGGCCATGCATACATGTGAAGTACACTGTATAACGTTAAACTTATTCAAGTATGGCACATATTATTGTGAGATTGAAATTAAGCATTTTTATACAGAAGAGGAAATATTTCGTAGAATAAAACAATTTATTTTTATACATTTAAAATTTATAATATATAAACCTTTGCAAGCTATGGTTATTAATCTGATTATGACTTAATGTCTTTTATTACCTGTTCTACAGACTGAATATGTAACAGATTTTTGATGATGAACTGTAAGCTAATATTACATTTGAGTTCTAATGTATTTTGTTAGAAATCTAACATGTCTTTTGTTACATTGGGTAGATGTCCAACATAAAGCACTGTGCTAGAAATGTCACACATTAACATCACCAGTCAAGAATGGGTGTAACTGGCAGGCCAGTTTTTAGTACTGCAACAATAGCAGCAACAAAGGGTTTCAAATAATAACACAGCACTTATAAAAATATGAACCATTTAGGTCTTGTTTAATTGGCTATTCTTGATTGGGGCTTTAAATGAATCAAGATGATGATGACACAGAAGATGATGAGAAAAGCTCTATGCATTTCATTAGTTTCAGCGGAAATGAGATTGTAACATAAACTCATTCTAACGTTTATAAAAGGAATCATATATTGATTGAAAAATAAACCCAAATTAAGCCTGGTTGTGTTGTGATGTTTATATGTGATATTATATTGACATTCAAGACCAAAATGCTGTTTGATTTGCTGTCCATGGAAAACATTTCCCCAAGTATGTCGGCTTTATTTGCTTTGTGGACTAGTCTGTCTCATTCTAGTCTACTTCCATAATCTTCTACATTGCTAACTTTGCAAACTTCATAAAACAAGCAATGCTTTGACACTGATTTTCGAATGCCACTGGCAATCTCCAGGCAAGTGTAGTATTTTACACCCCCCTTGTGGACAAATAAATGTTGTACAATGCATGGTTACTTTATTATATAATGTCTCATCTTATTAATTTGGCACATTAAAAAACTACAATATGGTTATGGTTTATTTAAGAAGAAAATCAAAGGACTGAAATCTACTTACCAAGAACAAACAGCCCAAACAAACGGGCCCTTGATGTTTTAACAATCCTTTCTTTACGGTTGAAGGGAGATCGGAAAGCTCTCCAAATGACAAACAAAGGTGATTACAATCATAATCTGGCCATTTGTTTATTGGACTTTCATGACATTTCTCAGAATCTGACAAGACAACAGGAGGATGGCCTTTAAAAAGCTGCATTCAAAACAACAAGAGCTACAGTGATAAATGTCAGCTATAAATGACCTTTAAATTATAAATTAAAGGCCTGCATCAATGAAAACAAATAGCCTTGAGCTCAGCCTGTTTCTGCAGTTTACACATCCTTTTGGAAAAGATTTACATGTACACCAACCGTGTCAAGATGGGAAACATACATATAATTAGATAAAGATACAAGGGCTTAAGGAATACAGATGCATTTTAAAAGTATGAATAATACATAAAACATCTAAAGCAAAGTCTTTAGATTTCAACATACAGCATAATTCATGCATGACACATGATGGATGCTGTTTAAAATGCACATAGAAGTGCGTTTCTTTACTATTATTTTTTGACAGCTGTGAAGGTATTCAAGAGGATTATCCTGTCGGTAGAGGAGGCAGATGGGTACATACCCCCAAGAGAGGTAATGTTCTGTCATCCATCTGGACCAGGCCAATAGCGACGCCGGATGACATAGCCCCTCCCCTCATTTATCTTCGCTTAACCAATCAGATCTTACAGATTCCGATTCAGCGCTCCTTCCCAAACCTCTCCAGTTTAAAATAATCTTGGTGAAAGCTGTATGGCAGTTTGCTAATCCTGTCAGTGGGATAGGATGGTCACCTGCCACAGCCAGAAAAGTCTTTCATGTCACGCAGTATGTAATAAGGATAACAAAATATTTTAAATTGGTCACAGAATACATGAGGGTGAATGATTATTGACTATAAGACTGATCTGCTCCATGCATACACATTAGTTAGCCCACATTAAACAAGGTACTCCATAGAAATCCTGTACATTGCGCTAGATTTCATATAGATTCATGTTGTTATTTTAAAGACCATAAGATGTTTCAATTTTCTAAGATATATATGAATAAACCATCAGTTATGCCTAATATACAACACTGTGCAAAAGTCAGAGACCACCATTTATTTAATTTCCAGCCAAAACACCAATTAAGTACAAGTTATTCAATTTTAGCTTCAGGAAAAAAAGCAGAAAATCATATATTTCACAGAAAATTACACAAAAGCCTCAACAACTAAATATATATATTTTTAAAGTATTTAGTGTATCCATCCTGTGCATCTATTACAGCTTCTCACAATCCAAGTAATTCCAAACATATTCAATGATGTTACGGTCTGGACTCTGGGGTGGTCAGTCCATTGTTCTGAGAACACCAGCAGCTTCTTTCTTTGATTTGCAAATTTTCTTCTTGATTATTTTCTTTTCTCAGTAAGGGCTTCTTGACAGCTACACATCCTTTCAGACTCACAGCACTGAGTTGTCCTCTATAAGATAAAAGCTTTGAGTGCTGTTTAACTGGGGGACAGGTGGTCTCCCAGGTCTTGCGTGGTTACAAATCTGGAGTTCAAAAATTACTAAAAGATATAGAAAAAATGGGGCTAACAACCATGCAGAACCTGGCTTTTTCATTGCTTCTGAAAAATGAAAAACTCGTACTTAATGGCCATTTTGACTGCAAATAAATAAATGAAGGGTGGTCTCTGACTTTTGCACAGTACTGTGGGAAGAAACATCACAGGTGCCTGTTGCATTTCTAAATATTCTTGAGACTGTTACTGACAGAAAACTAGTTATACTATGTATTCAAAAGTTTATAATAACCCCTTCTAATTTTAGGTGCACCCATTGCTGACTCAGGAATTCACACAGCTTGGATAATCTCCACAGAAAAGCACTGCCAATAGAATTGGACTGGAGCAGTACACATGAGTCTGAAGTCCCCATGCCCAATGATAAATGTTGACTAGTAAGGTATAACCCCCCCCCCAGCACTGGGCTGTGGAGCAGTGAAACTGTATTATCTGAAGTGATGGAGTGCCATCCAATACCTTTAGGTTGAGTTGGTGAGGCATTTGTGAGGCATGTGAGAACTTATCATCCAACATCAGTATCTGACCTTACTAATGCCCTTGTGGCTGAATGCAGTCAAATCCTTATAGCAACATAACAGATTTTTGATGATGACACCTAGTGTTCCCAGAAGAGTAGAGGCTGTTACTGCAGCCTATGAATGCCCTTAATTCTGGAAAAATGTTAGTGTCTACAAACTTTTAGGCATATGGTGTACATATATATATGCAGTAAATAGAAAAGCAGGCCATTTAGCTTTAAAAAGCAGAGATTGTGTGTAGTAGCAGGACAGTGGAGCCTTACTGTTATTATTGTTGGCTCCCCCATGTGCCATCACGTATGAATATTGTGAATCTCAGACATGGTTAATCCCTGTGCTTGGTGGTCTTAACATTTAAAGCTGGTTTCCCTGGACACAGATTAAGCCTAGTCCTACATTTTTCTTTTTAATGAAGAATCTCCGCTGAGGACTTCGGGAACTCGATCCACAGAGCCAAATGACCGGATATGGATTAAGCATAGTCTTGGACTAAATTGCAATGCTATTGGTTAATCACTGTAAGAAATCTTTGTAGTCTAGTCTTGATCTGGTCTGGGAAACAAGCCTTTAAGTGATAATATGGCACCACCGACCAAAATGTCTACAACAGCTAAAGTTCCAATCCCTGTGAGAGAGCAGGTCTTGGAACAAACCCGAATGCCATCATTAAAACAGAGCTCACTAACTGGTTTCTAATATCATTCCAAATCTACACACTGCAAAAAGACGGTTCTTCAGTGGTTCTTCAGTAAAGCCAGTGGTTCTATTTAGAACTACGAGTTCTATAAAGAGCCAGTTCATGCTTAAATGGTTCTTCGAATGATAAACCAGTTCTTCAGATTGATCAAGAACGTGTTGTGTACGGTTCCATATAGAACCTTTTTAAAATGGTCCTATATAGCACCAAAATGATTTTTCCTATTCTTACCATTGCTGTGAAAACCCACAGAAACCATTAAGTGTTTCTATTGGTTCCTGATGGTTTTGTAATGTGCTTTGGCTTTTTTAATGGGTTGATATGACAATATAAAGGATCCTAATGGTTTAACAGGTGACCAATGGTGGATTCTGAATGCATTTGATGGTTTATAATGGGATCTGATGGTTTCTAAAGCGATTCCCATTAGAAGGAAAAATCATTAGTTACGTTTTAATCCTAATCGTCCTTTTTCAGCAGGGACAAGCTTGATATCGAAACAATAGAAAATTGGAGCTATATAGAAACATAGACAAGACATTCTCCATCAATCTGAAGAACCATTTCGCCATGCAAAGAACCATTTAAGCATGAAATGGTTCTATATTGAACTCATGGTTCTAAACAGAACTACCCCCTAACTCCTAAATAAGTCTTGAGGAACCATATGTTTTAAGTGTGTACCCTAAAAATGGTAAATTACTCATTTTACCATTTTGTGATTCTCTTTGTTCGAGACTAAACCGGTTTATGAAAAGCATGAAAAGCTACACCGCCATAACGTTAGCTGTCATAAGGTAAACAAGCTTGCTCGAAAATGGCTGCAATTCAATTTCATTTAGCAGGCTAACCCTGCTGCCTCCACGCCCTCAGTCATTACACGCTAGCCATATTTTTCATACCGTCTCATGATAACATTTAAATACCTGAAACCTTGTTGGTATGAAGGCAGCGAACATGTGTAAAATGTGTTGCTTGAGTCGTGTCTCTCGACAGTTTTGTGCAAGTTCTCGGACAATAAAAACACTAAACGATTTGCTTCGTTGATACTTGTTAGCTTCCCAACCATAGCCAGCTAACATTAACGTTAGCCCACTCTAATCACTGGGGTTGATTCAGGTTGATGGTGGTGGGATTCGCATCTTGCCCAAATTGAAACATTACAAAAACACCAACGTTAGCTAACCTAGCATCCTTATTTTGTACAAGGCTGTTGGCTTCACATTCGAATTTTCCCGTTCTACCTTAAATGGTGCAGCAGTTCAGTCTGGTGCCTGAGGCGCCAGAATGTAACTGCTGCACCATTTTAAGGTGGAACGGGGAAAATCGAGCAAGAAGCTGGCAAATAAGAAGCTGACTTCAGCTTTGTATATTTTGTCTTGTTCCGCGCCTGATAGCTGCATTAGTTCCTGTTTAGCGGTGCTGCTTCAACCGAAAAGGGGAGTTAACATATTGTGGACGCAGATTAGTGCGAAAACTTACTGCTGTGCGAATCCTAGCTAGCTCGTATGTCCAGGGTATTTATGAAGCGGGGATTTCTAAAGCTGCCCGGAGTAACTACGCAGTTAGTTACCTGCAAAACTAGGCAAAATTAGCAAAGAAAGAAAGAAAGTTGCAGAGCTGCAACGCCACCAGCTTGCCTACTTCTCGAAGACTGGGATCTGGTCGCAGTTCTGCTCCAGCTATTTGGACAAACCGTGCCTGGAGGGAGCACAGCACAGCACAGGATGAACTCAATATGATTAATTTCGTTAGCCATCTTGTACGCTAACCCTAG